ACCGTAAGTTTTGTGTTGAACTTAAAATGCTTGTTGACTTCTCTAAGCACAGTAGAATCCTTGGAACGCTTCAGTTGAGAAAATATTCCCAGAGAAGACATCAAAGGTAAGACGTAGCGAACGAGCTCGTTTTCACTGGTTCATCTTCAGACTATTACACCACCATATGAGGGGTTAAACAAAGCACTAATTAAATCCAGCGATGAAAGAAAGGGATCGCAATTTATGATCAATATAACTAAATGCTTAGTCCACTCAAGGTCAAATCAGGTGGCATAACGTGATCATTCGCGTTAGTCGTGGCGGATTGTAGTTAGATTCGATTTGAACTTCAGTCGCTCTTTCATCAAGTGTCGGATACCAGACTTTTGCAATCCGCGGAAAATAGTCAAGCATGTCTGTTTACTGCACATTGTCTTTGTTTTCCAGTTTCTCGCATATATGTGAACGTATGTGCAGTGTCCTTGGAACCCCATGAACAATGAATCTACACTTAGTCATGTTTAACCTTTTAATTAGCCCATCATTTTTCTCTTCATACCCTCAATGTAGTCTTTGCAACAACACCGATATCCCGTAACTCAGCGTCCCAACTAGTCATGTATGTTCTCCGGAGTGTCGTCCAAGAGAAGTGCCTCTAAACTACTCCACCGGCACATCAGTATTTGCCACTCAGGGACATGATTTGTACTTAGGTAAGCACGTTCCATTAGCTTCAGATGTGGGTAGCAAGGACGGAGAGACACTTCCTGAAATGATGCGATGGCCTTCGATTGTCTGTCGAAGACAGCCGTCAGTAATTCGTTGGTGGCGATCCATTCCACTTTGACCATAAGTACTAAGATTCGTTCATCACTACCTTCGTTCAGTTTTGAAAAATGTTTCAACTTAGTGAGAGATCTTCCTAGTAGGACTTTATTCTGGTTCTCAATTGGACGTCAGTTTCGTTAAACTGGGATCGCATCTACCACAACTAAGCCCATTCTAAGCCTCATTCTGGTGAGGGGTTCCTTGTCACGTCGTTTTCTATTTCAAAACCGGAATCACCAATCCGACATCAGTGCCATTTTTTTAGTAGCGCACTACAGCCATTCCAGCTTTTATGGGGGTGAGGTTGAGGTGGCTTTCTGCCTACATATTTACATCAGAGTTTGGGTTCTTAAATTAGCTTAACCACTAGTCGCCACACTGCTGCAATTTTGCACGGAGGGCAGGCTTATTTCACTGTCTTGTACCGTCAGGTTTTACCTCATGGTGAGCAGCGTACAGTTTATTTAGTCCCTGGAAATGTGTGAGCAAAATTAAGTGGAACAGCATACGGGGAATACTACTCCAAAACGGTAGATGGGCATGCAGTGTCGTCAGAACCTCACGGCTCAAGTTGAACAGCACGCCAGTGGTTTATATGGAATGCCCACTCACTGCAGCTATTTCGGGATAGTTAAATTCAAACGCGTTCCGCTTATTACTGTTTGGAAAATTTCGCAAGGAACACTAGCGTGCAGTTCTTTGTATTACGTCAGGAGTACGTATGCATTTATTGGCTTGCGCTACCTTGTAGTGGGACCCATGGAGATAGCCAGGGTTGAGACGCATTCGCCAACTATTTGACAAATACCACTGGCCTTGATTTATGAGGAAAGTAAAGCTACGAATGAAACGTAAGTGAAAGCCCACAGCTGAGTGCAAGTGCGCACAATGTGTTCCGAGTTTGTGGAGGTCTCAAGCTTCCCATGTGGGTGCTTCAATTGTTTCGCGTCTCCATGTGGAAAGTCAATTTGCCAAAGTAGACATTGGGTCTCTACACAGTCTATGGAACTTATGGATCAACGCCGACGTATTCCGACTGGAAGTGAATACATCGAGACTCGCAAAATCCTCAGGACAGAACCGCCTGCTAGCCTGAGAAGAGACCGCAAAGTCTGGTGGTCTTATCGTGCCTCGGAGATGGAAACAGCTGCTGCCGTGGGTAATCATCGTAAGTTATTCTGTCTGATAGGGAAAGCAGGCCGTAGGGAAACTGGTGTTAGCTAGACCATCCACGACGAGAATGGACAACCGATCGAAAGCCCGTCAAAACGCATGGAGCGTCGGGCCGAACACTTTGCAAGGTAATTTAACCAACCTGAGTTATCGCTTGCTTTTTCGGGTATTAAGCGACATTTTCCTTAAGCAGTCTCCCTGGATCAGCCCTCACGCGCAGAAGTCGAACGTAAGATCAGGCTTTTGAAATTGCAGTAGGCCGCAGGGGTAGATAGAATTTCCCCAGCCCTCTTCAAATTCGGGGGCTCTGCTCTAGTAGATGATTTACGCTAGTTGCTAGTGTAACTGGGAGCAGGAAACTGTCCCGACAGACTCGAGCCGCTCCGTCATAGTCCCAATATTCAAAGCAGGCTTCTGTTTGGAAAGCGGCAATCATCGATGGATCGTACGAGCCCAATTTCCCCTAAATTGCTTGCGTCTATCGTTCCCCACAGACGGCCTGGCGTTCGTGAAAACCAGATCCGTGAAGAGCAAGCCGCTTTTCGTCGAGATCGAGGATGCATCGACCACATCTACACTTTGCGTCAATTGTTAGAGCACCGCCATGGTTATTGGCGACCCACTCTTGTTGTGTATCGCGATATAAAAGGTACGTTTGATTCGATGGATCGTGGTACTCTTTAGGACTGTCTGCTGAGGAAAGGTATGCCTGATAAATACCAAAACATTATCAGCGCGCTATACGCGCATAGTTCGGGCAGAGTGAGGGTTTATAGCAAACTGTCGCCGCCATCAGTCTCAGCAGCGGTGTGAGGCAAGGCTGCCCGCTGTCACCTTTCCCCTTTAACTTCGCTATTGACGAAGTCATGGGTGCAGCATTCGCTGGACACGACCCACGAGGTGTGGAGCTACTTCCTGGTGAGACGCTTATTCACTTGGAGTATGCGGACGATATTGATTTCATATGTGACAGCACCCGTACGTGCTAAGCGGCACTGGACCGATTAGCACTGGCCGCTAATCGTTTTGCGTTATACTCCGCTCCGTCGAGAAGCAAAATCCTTCTCCAAGATTGGTGGGGATCCACTCCTGAGTGGACCCTTGGTGGTGATCATCTAGAAGTCCTTCAGGAATTCAAGTACTAGACAGCTATATTAGTGCCCGTGGTATTGCAGATGGAGGTACGAACCGTACAGCAAAAGTTCGAGGTGCTTTTGCCAATCTCCGCCACTTGTGACGCAGACGCGACCTCACTCTCGCCTTGAAGGACAGAGTTTCTAGTACAGTCATCCGTCCAACCCTCCTACAAGGTGGTGAAACCTGGCCCATTAGGTTGACAGACATAAAGAGGCTCGTTAAATTCGATCATCGCTGCCCTCGCAGCTTAGCTCAGGTCTGGTGGGAGCACCACGTGAGCAATGAGCGTGTTCGGCGTAGCGTATTAGGTGCAGGAAGAGCCAGTGAACCACTCAGTACCATTATAACACGCACCTGGCTCCGATGGCTTCGCCACGTGTTACGCATGCCAGCACACCGACTCCCGCGATGTTCCTTGTGCGCCGGTGGTGCGGTTGGAAGAGGATGATGGAAGGACAAGCGATGACTTGGTAGCGAGAAATGAAAACCCCCACTTCAAAGTTGGCGTCAGTTGGTGCATCCCGACTGCCTGGCTGGGGTCCTAATGACGTTTGGTTGGACACGCTTGCTGATATAACGAAGAGCCGGCCTCAATGTCGTTTTTCTTGTGAGGTTCTTTGTGTATCCCCTTTTCAGATTCCCCCAAACCCGACATCATACAAAAGCGTATAATATAATATTTAACATCATATTACTTGCTTTGAATCTTCTTTAGTAGTGTAAATTTTTAAGTCCCATTTCTTTTTCTATTGTGGCACATTAGCTGCGGTGTGTTTCTCGCCCTCAGCTAACGTGTATTGATGAGGACGATGATTTCCAATTAGCCGGGAAGAGACAATGGACGTATTGGGTCAATGGATGTCTCGGCTGGTTTTTCCATTAGCTCAAGCAGGTCTGAGTGCTTGGTTAGTTTGCTTTTTTAATGTGTGTTGGAAGTGCAATGAAAATGAGTTAATGCTACCTGTTTATCTTAAGCGTTTAGCAACGATCTATTATGACACAGCTCTGACTGACTATTCCACAGATCTACCAATCGCATTGGATCGGAACTAACATCACTTTTCCAAGTAACAAGCCAATACGGGCCAGTTGCAAACCTACCATCCGTTGCTTAGTTCAGGTCATCTTCTTACTCCAGTTTTTGTATGGGAGTGTCTGGATGAACTCTATGTATTAATCGCCAGTGACGCTTCTCCTGATATGAATAATTACATTTATTCTGAAGTAACCCGACCAGCAAGCATCTCAAACGCGATGTTAATATTTCGCTCATTCATTCGAACCAAGCCTGGTTTTCCTAGACCGAGTTTCCGCAATCCGGATATGTTTCCTCCCCTTTAGCTAGTATATGACTGCATTGGTTTCGTAACCATTTCGACTATCACCACCTTTGTTTTCATCAAAGGATCGCGAACGCTCTTTCCGTTTTCACTTTGCGAGTGTAGCCGACATTATTTCAAGTTTTCGATAAGAAAAGATTAGTTGAACCTGATCCCCTTGAAAACGGAGGTTGGTACATCAAATTTGGCCATTTGGGGCATCCTTCCCGGTAATAATGATTGCCATTGTTGTTATTTTCAGGTTGGGTATTCCGTTTTAGTGTATGAACCCGCAGTCCTTGCAAGAATAAAATACGCTTCCCCGTCTAACGACACCATAAGACATTTAGGTTCCTGTCTTGTATATTTGAAAGCGTGAGGTGGCCAATTCGTTTAATCTGCGGAACCAGGGGCGAAGAAAACCGTTGTGGGTTCATGCCTTTAAGAAACATGTAGAAATACCATCCTGGACAAGTGGCACTCCGCAAGTTTACAATTCGAGACATTGGCCTATTGTCCATACATGGTCTGCCGGCAGTCACCATCTGGCCACAAGTTGATCTATTTGAACCAACCTTCGATTAAAGTAGCTCGTTCGGCTGGTGGTGTGAGAAAAAATGAGACAGCTGCATCAGAATATAGTCTATGACGGTCCTCCGATAGGCCAACGTCTCTCCATCTATTCGCCTTCCAGTGATCGCGGAATTCAGCTAGCAGATATTTCAGGGTGTCCGTAGGGAATGGTGGGCGATAGGGTGAAATGGGAGACAACGGCTCAACTCGTGGTAACGTTGGACAACGAAGACTGGGAAAAACGATGACACCGCTGAAGAGGGAATACATGGGACGCATCAGTGACAATTATGTGATGAAACAAAGAGAACGGGCTAGAACGTTCGCCTTTAGTTACCGCAAACCAATGTAGGAAATTAGTCTGGTCTCACTATGGCCGGTAAACTGGTCTCCAAACATATGTAGTCGTATACGGTTGGGACTTCTGTAAGCAAGCAGATCATAACCGAAGACTGATGATTGGATATCCCTGGACCTTATCCCACATTAACTAATAAGTACATATCTTGAGCGGTTAGTGCAAATACATGAACCACACGAGTGAAGTATTACCTGGAAAGTGCTTTTCGTGCAAAGTCAACATCAATATTAGATCGATGAACTACTGCTTTATCTGAGGACGGTAGGAAGTAGCCTGAGCAAAGGCACAAAAACACAAGAGTGACAGTCCCACAGTCTCTGCGAAGAACCTTGGTGGACGTAACGAACAGGATACCGTTTGTGACTATACTGTAGATAGATTGGGCGAAACTTCTAGAACTACTGCCGGTTACCGTGGTATTGTGTAGTCTTGACACCTGAAGGTAAAAAGCAGTTGTTTTGACTACGTAGTGCCCGCATCCGGTGGGTAAAGCAACATCGAATTGCAGCGGACTGCTTGCTAAAGTCGATACAAATAAGAGTCAAACGGATTCGCACCGGATATTGCATGCGTCTCTGGTTGCCCTCAGCTGTGTATAACCCTGATGGCAGATATGAGGATAGACTGGTGATAGATAAATCAATGATGGGAGCTGTTTTGCAACACTCGCAAACGGGGTATCGAGGATTGCAGCCCCACCACTTGACGAAGACTGAGTGCATCCTCCAGGTTGACACACACCGTTGGTCTATGAATGCTACTCCACTATTCGTTGGCGGGAATTTCTTTGATCTTTAAAGTATTTTCTCTTTGAGTGATAAACTGTTCCAGTATATTAGACTTCTTCCCCATCTTTGTTAAATCTTTTATTCGAATCTTTATCTACGTAACTTTGGTGCTCCCATCATTGAGAGCGTGCGTACGACTGTCTGTTAGTCTTGAAGATGTAAAAAGAGTGAACAGCGTTGCAGCGTTCATAGCGAAGGGTTATGATTCTTAAACTAAGTAAATATTTGCTCTACACAACTTGACGCGGTACCTTTGCGTTCATTGTTGGCTGAAAATCGTGTATGGGTGGACTTCTCCAAAGCGAGTGTTTGGTGCACCCCTGGTAGATCTGTCACAATTAGATGTTTTCCCTGGATGGGTTTTATCTACATTATATTCCCCATGTCACATCAGTTCTTCCCTATGTGTGAAATGACCAGTGTTGTTTCGGCTTCACGAAGCGGAGTGTAATGCTAGTATTTGGCTTACATACGAGTGAGGTACTCAGAAAAAATGCATTGGCTGATTAAAAGCTTCTAGGTTGTATCTTCTATGTTACCCCAACGTAGTGGCCTCTAGAGCATGTGCCGTAGGTGTGTCTCAGTGTATGCATGATCAAGACACTGTTAGGTCGCTTAGGCCTAAACAAGATAATGATTGGATATATTTGAGTGTTGCTCTTCCCAACATTAGCACACCACGACCGCGGTTTCCTCTTGGTTTAGACTCGTCAGGTGGAGATAGCCTGGGCTGGGGTGGAACTCAGAGATTAGTGGTTCATGGTTGACGCCCTGAGCACTAGGCTACTGAGATCCGCGAGCAACGCTTGGCACAGCGGAAAGTAATTCAAAGCTGCATTTAGGGAGCACGCTGGGTAATAATGATTGTTAGCCCCAATCATTGTCTTTGACTAAAAAAACCTAACCGCGGCGATGTGAGATTTTGGCAGTGGTATACAGAAAGTACGTTTTAAGGAATAATGCCTCACCCGTACTTCACATTCAGATCTTAAGGACCGGGAGTCCAACCCTGTTGTCACTTGTGTCCGATGAGTGTCCGATGGGTGGAGGATGGGCGCCCCAGCAGTAAAAATTGTACCACTCATCTGGTGCATGCTGATAAATTTGGACGGCCTTTCTCTTTGAAGTGTATACCCCCTCCACAACTTCCCCCATGTAAGCATAACTTAGCCGCAGTAAATCCCAAAGCACTACAACTGACTACGTGTAATTGTAATTCCACTCACCTGGTTATGTACACAGCACGTGGCGGCAATATTATGTGTTACGGAGCAAGTGATTTACAAACCAGATTACGGCTGCGCAAATCGTTCTATCTCCTTTTGTAGCCACCTTTCTTGCTCTCTAATCCGTTGTATCAAGCGGCGTAGCTTGTCCACGAACTCCAGCTCTGTATATCCCAACACCTAATAAGTGTCCGGCATCGAGCGCTAATGGCCATTGGTGCTAATAGGGGCGTTTCTCAATCTTCTAACCCTTGATCAGTCTGGTATGAGTGGCTCCGAATGTGTAAGACGCAACACCCAGCACATTTCAATGGGTAATTAATAGATGCGAATGGTCATCACACACTAAAATCCGTTTTCATGCACTTGGCAAGAAACGGCAGGTGATGTTAGAAGCAAACCCCTCAACGAAGAGCTCATCCAAATGGTTAGACTGAGTGGAAAATCTGGCTGCCAAACAGACCAAATAAGATTTCGGATGATATGCAGATTATTCCTATTCTGCAATGATGTCGGGTCTTTTAAATCGATCGTTGTCATTTTTCTCGGACATCATTTTTTCGTTAGCTACTGTGGAAATATCGTCTTGCAAGCTTATTTGTTAAAACAATTTGCAAGGTCATTGAGGCTGTCCTACTTCATCTACCTTCGAAGTAAAATTGCTGTGCTACTACGCACTATTCCCGATTTATTGTTTGGACGCAGCTAGTAGGTACGTTGATACCAGTTGCCCTGTTGACTAAATGAAAAGTCGGAGGAATCTGTTCAAGGATGTGCGATGGTTTCTCTGGAAAGCCGGGCTATTTTCTCGTGTGATGGCATTGTGCCATTTTTATTTTTGTCTACCTATTTGTACATTTGTGCAGTTTTAGTGCCAGTTTCGCAGTTTATAATGTAAAATGCTAAAATGCACTGATTTGGCTACATTAAGCTCGTCGTGACTTGACTTGGCTAGTACCCGAGGTGGGAACGTCGATTGTGACAACGGACACCCTATTTCAGTGGTGCGCAGTTTGAATGTGCCCCAGATACCTTCTGATGACTTGCACTTGACTGGTCAGTTCACCTTTAGGAAATTGTCAAGCAGGTGTGTTATCACCTTCAATCTGATGCAGACACAAAAATAGGGTCAGCCTCTAAAACGCCACGAAATGTGATGCAATTGAATGAGAGTAATGAACTTCAGACTTCGGATACAAAGCCTGTTTATGCTGAATTGTTCTAGTCATGGGTTGTATTTGGCTCTAAATTATGCGTTTAAGTCATTTCGTAGCACGTCTGTGCGTGATAGTATATATTTACCGCATCATCGCTCCTATATAGATCCAACTTGACAGTAAAACGGTGTTCTTGTGGCATCTTTGTTTCACATCACAATTCGAGTTCACTTACCGAAAACCAAACCATCCACCATAGCGATGGTGTAGGCTGCAACCAGGGTAATTCTGCGGCGACTTCCAATCCGGTTTGTGAAAATAAGCCAAGCCAGACACGTGACCTGCACACTGCATGTGCACGACCGGTAACCGTGACACGGGACGCATTTCGAAATCTGGTATAAATCGGTGTGGTGTTAGCAGTAATAGTTGTTCAACAGGTAACCGCTGTTCCAGTTCTCGCAAAGTTATTTCCAAGGCAGCTGAAATGCGCAATAACACTGACCAATCCAACGGATCATTCAGCCCAGGTGACTGTGTTACACCAAGGGTTGCTGATCTCAATTTTCGTAGCACTAACTCCAACGAACGAACATTGGACGAGCGAAACCATGAGGCTAAATGGGTTAGAAAGCTCTTCTCGAACATCTTTGGTGAGCTGATGATACACATTGCAACACAGTCAGCGTGTGGACAGATGGTAGGATCCAGTCTCACTGAGGCTGCTACCAATTCATTGTACCATCCTGTCAGAAAAGGGGCAATTTCGAACCCGTATGTCATGAGATTGCGAGCAAAGAACTCTGTGAAACTCTTGAGTAACTGTAGGCGTGTCTCTTCGTCGAGTCCCATTATGTGACACCTTTAAGAAAAAAGTAGCAATGTATCTGTATTGGTAAGAGGCCCAAATAATATTGGCCAAGGATGACATTGTTACGAATGTGAAACAGCTCAAATCTCTAGTATTTTTGTACGATTAAGACAAATAAGAGCATAAACATTTTTTATCCTGCTTTCACGATATTTCATAGTCTCTTTTTCAATGCACTACTGGATCTATGAAGTCATTCAGTTGGCCTAAAACAACATAGTAAATAAGCATAAGACTATGCCGTACTGCATCACATCGCATGTTACCACACGGAAATTTTAACCCATCAACCTTCCCTATGATGCATAACTTACAATGGAACAATGGTTTATTACGGGTAAAAAAGCATCGCTTAACAATCCCGTGGGATGGAAATTATGGCGAAAAGCAATGGCATAATAAAGTGAAAAGCGTTGTGCTGAACTCACCGTAGACTTATGTGGAATAGCGGAGATGTTCGCGTATTAAACGTATATGCATAAATCCATGGGTTAGGCGTTTGGCAAGACACCGTTTGATTGCGTTTTATAGCCCCTGGCTAATAAGTCATAAAATGGAATGTAAGTAAGACAATTTATCGTCAACACGTTTTTTAAATATCGCCAGATTGGGAGCAGAGACTACATAACTAGTGAGGGCGTTCCAAGGCTGGCACACGCGGAGGAAAAAGAAATTGTTGCAGCATTCAAGTCGGCTATACTAAATTGCCAGTTTCAGAGGGTGACCTCTTCGTTTAGTGTTGTGGTTCAATGCCAGCAGCGGACGGCAAACGTGGTTTGGGTTCTTCAGAATCTGATAAACCATTATGAGATCCCCCCGCAAAAGCCGATATCGACTGCTGTAGATTCTTAGAGATTTCATTCTAAGCTGATAGGGCAAATAAAAGAGGCCTTTGACGTTCTTGGTTGCCCTTCGTTGAGGAGCCGCGAGAGAAACGAGATCCTGTTTCTGCCACGGCTACCACGCCTGGATATCATATTCCACTTGTGGTCGCACGTAGGCGTTAAGCATTTGGGGAAAGATTGAGGGTTCAAACCGACCGAAGGCTCTGCGAAGAAGGCCGAAGTGTTGATTTCCGGTTCTCCTCGCCTTCTCTGCTTGCTTTGAACACCCAAGATCTTCCTGTGCCAATGCACCCAGGTCACTCTCCTGAGAAACCTTCGCCAAGTTGTGGTCTCTAATCTTGTAAGCGCTCATCGGCTGGTGACGCAGATGTATCACTTTACACTTAGTTATGTTCAATTGAAGCTTGTTCCTCTTTGACCATTGGTAAATGCAATCTAAATCATGTTGGAGCAGATCCTGATCTGGCTTGTTACTAATTGCCCGTCATATCTTGACATCATCGAAGAAAAGCAGGAAATTTAAGGAGATAACTGATGCCAGGTCGTTGATAAACACCAGGAATAAACGCGGTCCCAGCACTGAGCCATGTGGGACACCACATTCCACCTCAGTTGGGGTAGAGAGTGATCCCCTAACACGTACTTGAAGCTTCCGTTGGTGAAGGAAGCTGCCAATCCAACCAAGTACAGGATCTCCGATTCCGTAACTCTGTAGCCGTTGGAGTAGGATGCGGTGATCAAGGCGGTCGAAAGCTTTGGAGGAGTCCAGATAGATGACGTTGACTCCGACCCCATCATCGACCACTTCCGTCCAGCTACCTCGTGCAATAAGTAGGTTGGTGGTGCATGACCGGTGTGGACGGAAGCCATGCTGTTCCGGTACCAGGATGTTGCATTTTTCCAGGTAATCCATTAAAGCCTCAGCAACGACTGCTTCCATCACCTTCGCGTGCACAGAGAGGAGAGTCACTGGACGATAGTTTGCAGGATCTGAACGGCTACCGCCTTTAAAAATAGGGGTGATAATGCCACACTTCTACATAGTGGGGCACTTGTTTTTCATCAAAACACCTCTAGAAGAACTGTGACAGTGGTTCAGCTAGCTTATTAGCTACAGACTTCAGTGCCTTCGGGCGGATGTTGTCTGCTCCTGGAGAACTATGCTCACGCAGTGAGAGTAACTTCCTTAGCACAATTGATGGGTTGAAAATTACATTTGTAAACAATGATGTCGGTAATGTGCTTGATATTATGGGACAGGTAGAGGTTGCGAGTTCAAAAATTGGGGTATGAACCCTCATGTCAAATATGCCTTTAGAACTTGGCAACCTTAGTTGAAATGCGGTCTCGAGGTGCTAGTTACACTACAACGCAGAGTGACAACGAACATCACGAGTTTACGCAAGTACTCTTACCAGCAAAGGCAGGAGAGACTAAAGGTTTTCAGCGGATGCTACCGAGGTCTACGCGGAAATATAACATGGGTGAACCAGATACAGCCAACCAAATCACCTGTGTCACCATCTACTGAAACTCCGCCACAATACAAACACAGTTAATCACCTGAAACTGGGTGAACAATGTAGTCGTCTAGAATGCTGACAGCAATACTTTTCTCTTAAACTCTCTTAAACTCGATTGTTTCTACCCCTACTTCGGATATCTTCAGAAACGAATAACTCTAGTCACTTAGTTGCACAAGCTGTGCTAGGATATTTTCAAGACAATTAGCTCCTTTGGAATTATAACCCACAGTGACGCACTTAACCCTGTGCAGACGAGTGAGTAATCTACTTGGCATTTGTGATGAGCACTAACAATAACAACTTGCTATTCCGTTGTGCGTGGAACCATCTCCCTCCCACAGCGTTAATCATTTATACGACGGGTGCAACAATTATATGTGCCACAACTCTATCGCTCACCGATGTGTATTTTGTTTAGGTGATGTATTCGATTTTTTGCTTTCTCTCATTGCCAACCTATGGTACATAGTAAGCCTATGTTTTTTAGTCATTTTTCTATTGAATACATCAGTCTTCTCGTACTTTTGCTGCAATGATTAAAGATGGGTTTGTAGATACCGATCCATGCCGCTGTAGCCTGAGTTTCGTGAAAATTTGCTATGAAATGTAATTCATTTCAATATGGTTTACTGTATTTAATACGAGAAACGGGTAGGAAATGCCGTGTGCGCACACCGGATCTTAATATTATGCAGTTAGTTGAATCGTTTATCAGGTATGGAATCAGATCTATGTAAATTGCATCGCCCTGTTTTAACGTCCTCACGAAACGACACGAATCCTTTTTGATTTCAGTCAAAGGAAGTGTGAATACTGGAAGGGGAAACCACGCGTTACGGCAAATTCGACTTTCTTTCTCTCTATATTAGTGAAAATCGTGACAGTATCTAGCACCCTGAGTGCCACGCCAGTCTTACCGTCACAACTGTACTCGTCACATATGATCTAGCAATTCCACCTAAGAGCCAGTGGTGACTGTCACAATCGTTGTGCTCGGCTTCAAAAAACCCTAACGCTGTATGTGGCGACGTATACCGTTATCGTCCGCCAAATGTCATCTGAAATCATTTCAGGGCAAAGAATTTTTTTCGGTAACTCTCATCGGACCCAAACATTTACATAACAGTGATTGTGGAGATAGTGTCAACTGGGACTGGGATTGACTTCTTGACTGTTTGAATGACCAAAATCGATAACTTGAGACAGAGATAGAGATGGTAGACCAAGTAAACTAAACAAACATGTGTACACAAGGCTTAGTAGTACAATGTAATTAAGTAGGTAAGATAACAGCCAAATAACTAAGTAACGGTGTCCGTTGGCCAAGGTAGTAGTATCGGCCGTATAAATCGTATTTGACCACATAACTCCGGCTTTAGATGGTGATAGTACATAGCCTCGGCGATGGATAAGAGCTGCTTGCGAAATCCTTGAGAGAAGTGTTCAGGTAATGTGTAAATGACTTTGAAGTCATTCTCTGAAGCTGTATGGCCATATTCAAGGAGGTGCAACATGATAGAGCTGTCTGAAGACTTCATTTCGCCTCCGTAAAACCATACCGGGATGTGTTCACGAACCCTTTGAGATAGGCGTCTCGTCGTGCGACCCACGTATCGTGCACCACAGGAGCACGAGTACTGATAAATGATCACTGAACGGGTCAACGGCGGTAGTCTATCCTTCAAGGGTTTTGTAAGCAACGGCTTATTGTGAAAAACGATTCTCAGGCGGGCCGCGAAATAAGTTTTCTCGACAGCATCTTTCAGGAGTCTGGATAACATATCAGCTGCAGAATCGCCCTTAAAGGGTATATGTATGAAAAGCTCTTTCTTAGGAACAATGCTCCTAGGTGGCTTTCGATTACGTTCCTTCAAATGTTTCGTGATAAATTTACCCGGATAGCCATTTTCCCTGAGGGCGTCGCTGATTCTGTGTAGTTCTTCGTTGACGGTATCCGGTGTACAAATACTGCGCGCCCTGAAGGCGAGTGATCTGATTAAACTCCGCTTGTGCTGTAGTGGTACTACAGCATTGATTCATATTAATGAAATGGGAATCTTTGCTTTGCTGAAGATCAGCATTGCCCGTGATTCATTGAAATGTCATCTGCTCTATATTACCTCGCTGAGGGTAGAAATAGCTGACCATTCATTGTAGGATACTCGGAATATATTGTAAACCCCAACAACGGAGAACATCACGTGCTGTCGTGAACTCACAACCGTGTAGTGGGAATGACAATGACAGGAACGGGGTTGTTCTTCAAACGGTATTAGCCCGTGCTTCAGTTTGCTCATCTGGTAACTGAGCTTTGCGGATAGCGCCGTCTAGGAAGTCTTAATAGATGCAGTTACTTTCTAAGGGCAGAACGGGTGAGACACACGAAACCCTCCACTCATCACACATCTGGTCACAATGCCTGCCGTATGGTAGTGAAGCGCAAGTGCGTGATTATTTATTGGGGAACTTTAAGGAGCATTTTCATCTGCAATCCGTTTATCTTGATATAACGACGGATAATGTATTCGAACATAATGTTTTTTTAAATAACGTTTTAAGTCCTGAAATGCCTGATTTCGGTATTGGAGCACGGAACTAATACAGACCGGA